AAGACAAAAAAAAAAAAAAAAAAGACAGAAAGTATTCATCGTGATAAGTACACATATCTGCAAGGTTTTGCAACTTGTTTCAGTCCCTAATTCACCTTACTCATTTTACACACATTATTACCTAAATTATGTTCTTAAGGCACAGCTCTGATTATTTCGCTTCGGTTTTAGGTTTGGCTGCATCTGTCTATACCTGCATGTGTTTTTAGAATAAATTTTTTTTTTAGAAAAACCAGCCTCTTGCTATGTATAGTTATTAAACTGATCATTCTTTAAATGCTACCAGTAAGTGTATCAACCCTTCAACCTTCCAAGTGTCTTATAACATTTACATATAGTCTAAGTCATAGCACTAGAGTATTGTGACTGATGCTTCTCCAAAATCAAGGGTGGCCTTAGATTTAGGCCAGGGAAAGAGGAAAGAGAGCAGAGAAGCAGTGGGAGAGGTGGGGTCAATTACAGGGACATAATTTGCCTCTAGAAACTTGCATAAGTTGTTGTGGTAGTTATGTAATAGAAGTAACTTTTCTGTTGTACTTGTTGACAGGTTTAGCACAGACATTTATTCATACCAGAGTCCTGAAGCCTAGGGTACATTTACATAATTAAATATAAATATTCCAAAAGCATTGATAATTACACTGGTCTCTATCTCACAATTTTGCCTATAAAATGACCTTGTAAAACACCCTGAAAATTGTGAAAATAAAGTGTATGAAGCTCTGCAGTTTTTTGGGCTACATGTGGGGTACAAAAGGCACCATTTTGGGCAAAGTATCCAAGATAATGAAAAGTCACTTCTTTAAATCATACTTAGATTCAAATACATTTTGTATCTATTAGATCTAAATCATATTTCCATACAAATAGATTATTATACAAAGACTATGTAATACATATAGTACACAACTGGAAGTAAGAATGTGAATCCCCACTGCTGTGGGTTCAAAACATAGCATACTTGGACCACTCAAAAGCGACGTCTTAGAGGAGTAATAGTCACTGAGAAGTTCTCCAGATAGTAGTTGACATACTGCTTTGACACTTCACAGTATCAGTCATCCAGGAAAAACAAAAAAACCCCCAAAACATGTAATACATTAGGAACATGTTAAGTAAATGTATACGTAAATTATATTTTC